TCAACAGCAAGTGCCAGATCGCAGTGGGCACTGCCGGACCTCAACAGCAAGTGCCAGATCTCAGTGGTCACTGCCGGATTTCAACAGCAAGTGCCAGATCTCAGTGATCACTACCGGATTTCAACAGCAAGTGCCAGATCGCAGTGGGCACTGCCGGACCTCAACAGCAAGTGCCAGATCGCAGTGGGCACTGCCGGACCTCAACAGCAAGTGCGAGATCTCAGTGGTCACTGCCGGATTTCAACAGCAAGTGCCAGATCGCAGTGGGCACTGCCGGACCTCAACAGCAAGTGCCAGATCTCAGTGGTCACTGCCGGATTTCAACAGCAAGTGCCAGATCGCAGTGGGCACTGCCGGACCTCAACAGCAAGCGCCAGATTGAGGTGGGCACTACCAGAACTCAACAGCGAGTGCGAGATCTCAGTGGTCACTACCGGACTTCAACACCAAGTGCCAGGCAGTGGACACGAACGAGCCTCAACTGCAAGGGCCAGATCACACTGGGCAATTTCGCACCTCAAAACACAACACAACCACAAACACACGATGTGGACTATAAATGGTTGAAATGTCATGGAGGGGATCATTTGACGTATTCTTTGGTTGATGGCCTAATGATCTTTTGCTTGACACGTCTAATTTAATCCCCGAATTCTTGGTTGTTCAAGACTTGTACCATTCGATAAATCCATAAATCTTCGCTAGAGATAATTTAAAAAGACAATCAATATATAATTAATATATAATTGGATATATAAAAAAAATATGTAATCGATTGATTGATTAAAATCAATATATATATATATAAAAAAAATATTTCGAACATTGAAAAATAAATCTAAAATATATTATTGAATTTTTTGGAATTGGAAATATATATTAAATTAGATTATAATAATAATTTATATATAATTTATGAAATATAAATAGATAATATATTATTATTATATATTATAAACATATAATATAATATAATATTTTTTTAAAAATATAATTAATATAAAGAATAATATTATATATTATTTATAGTATGAATAATAATAATTTGATATTTTCTAATAATATGATATATGTATATATAAATTTATTTAATATATAAAGAAATATATATTGGATAAAAAAGAATCGATTTATCTAAATTTTTATGGATTTATTTTATATAACGAAAATTAATCGTTTGATTACTTCGGACGAATGGAATAAATTTGGTGGAAGGAATGCAGAATTTGATGGGGAATAATATATAAAAGCAAGGGATTTGAATGAACATTGGAATTTTGGATACGAATTATGGATATATAAATCGAATGATATATATATAAATCGAATAATATAATAGTATTTTATTATAATGATAATTGTTTATTATTAATCTTATATGGGAAAAAAATAACATTATAATTAAATAATTATAAATATATATATTAAAAAATATATATATTTTATATATATTAAATATTTTAGTTATATCGACCGGGGCATGAGATATACACGACGTAGCCGATGTGAAGAAGATTGAAATGCAATACGGACAGAATTACCTCTGCCGGAAATGAATATTAAGAATATTCTAATGTATAAATATTTAATTGAAATGCAACCATTTTTCATTTTATTCGAGGAAAGGATTTTTAATTAAAATTAATCTCGGATATTTAATAATGAATTTATATATATATTATATTATTTAGTGACCCAATTTGATTAATTATAGATATATCAAAATATAATATTATTAGAATTGATTTTGAATTGTAAATAATAATTCAATATATATATAAATTTTGTTGATCGATTAATTTATAATATTTTATTTTATTTAGATTTTTTGATATTATTGTTTTTATATCTTTAAATAATCTTTATGATATATTTTTTCTATTATATTTATTTATATTCTTTCTATAATGTTATCTGGCATATATTCTGCATATTTTGCGATATTCTTTCTGATATTCTTTATGGTAATTTTTGATAATTGATGATTAAGGTTTGGAGACGAATACGACCGTCCGGAAATAATAATTGAAAATCTTATGATATTCTTTGTAATATATTCGATATTTATAATTTTTTGATATATATTCTAATATTATTTCGTGATATATATATATTGTTATATATTGATTCTAATCTATTTTTTAATATCTATATTTTTTTTCTGGTATATCTTCGGATATTCTTTCGGATATTCATTATGATATTATTTTTATATATTTTTTATTTTTTTCTAATATATCTTTTGAATTTCATGTTATCATATCTTTTAATATTCTTTCTGGTATTCTATTTGGCATATCTGTAGATATTCATTTCGGTTCGGTTCTATCTAATATATTTTCTGATGTACGATTGAGATAGGGCGGATCATATTGTCGTCGGTTGGTAAATGAGGTCCGGCGGGTCCGGCGATCGATATTGTTATTCGGGGGGAGGTTGGCAATTAAGGTCCGACGGATAACATTACCATCCCAAATTCGCAATTGAGGAAGAACGGAAGAAAAAACGAAAGAAAGGAGAAGAAATAAAGATCTTCACCTAACAAATAGACATATATAATTGATCCCTGTCTTTTTATTTCCCCATGGCGAATTAATAACACATAAATATAGGTCCGAATTAAATATTTAATCGAATTTCCTATATAATATTCAATGCATATTGGATTAATTTAAAGATAATATTATAAATTTAATCTTTTTGATTTATAATATATCTTTTATATTTAAAAAATATCAAATTTCCTTTAAAAAAATTATTTAAATAATATTATATATAAATTTAAGAATATATTATCATCGATAACGATATTTTGTTCCAGAAATATATATATTTGTGAATTTATATTAGAAAATATTCAATATAGATAGAAAATAATTTCAATATGATTTTTTTAAATCAATATTAATCAATTTATTAATATGCCTTAATTATATTTTTCCTCCAAAAATAAATTATTTTATCAATGAATTCGAAATCAATCACAAAATTCAAGGGCGCGATCAAAACAAGGACAAAATGAAAATCCATAAAATTTAAGAACAGAATTCAAAGATATTACCAAAACAAAAATAATACGAAGATAAAAAAATACAAAACAAAACAAAGCCCAACCATAGAACCCAATCATAAACAACAATAAAAATAAAATTCGATAAAATCAAAATGCAAAATCTAATCACAAAATTCAAGGACGCCACCAATAAATATAAACAATTCTTCTTAATATAATCAATTTCAATTAAATAAACCTTTCAAATAAATTTCTATCATATATTTTATTTATATTATTATTTCGATCGGAATCGAATCCGATCAAATACCTATTTTAATTTAGACCATATTAATATTACTTATTATTATTCACTTCCGGCAGAGGTAGCTCTGCCCGTGTTAGGCTTCGATCCGTGGATCCGCTGCGTCGCGCGCATCTGGTGCCCCCCGGGCGGCATCAACAAAATCATCATGGTTTTTGGCTGGACGAAAAAGACACAAAAGGATTGCAATGGATCAAGGATTTCCAGGCGCTCGTGAGATGTGTGCTATCAATTAGCCATAAGAAATACAAATTATGCTCCAGGTCAGGAGTGTGAGCACATGGCAAAGTTCTACTCCAATTTTCTGTCAAAAATCGATTTCCTCCAGTCCGAAGACAAACCTAATAATATCCGGAGTGAAATTCGACACCTCGATAAATCCCAACGATTTTTCACAATGTTTCCAATAAATGTTCCAATTATATTTATTAATAAAACGTAACAAACAAACGGAAATTCGGTTCCATCGAAAAACCTATATCGACCGAATATCTAAAGTTAAAAACCAATTCATTTAATAATAAATTATCGTAATGCAATCCGAAAAATCCCAATAAAATAGAATTTTTTCACGTCATAAATTCACCAAATCCTAAATCGTATAATCGCCATCTTTTCTCTACTAAAAGAAAATCGGTACGTAAAAGCAAACCTAAATCCTCAATAATGGTTTCAAACCGTAATTAAAATAATATTATTATATTTTAAAATATATAATAAAATACATAATTATTAAATAAAAAATAATAATCAATCAAATATATAATTTAAACAAAATATCAATAAATTTAAAATATATATATTACTATAAAATCAATCCTTAATTAATAATTATCATAAATAAATATAAAAATATATCTATTCTTAGGAGAAATAATTATTAAATTATTAATTAATATGAAAATATAAAAAATAGAACCATTAATTTAAATATTACGATTAAATTTAATATTTAGGATTAATTCAACACCCATAATCAATATTAAATTCTAGAGGTGTATTAAAATCGCCACAAATCAAAAATAAATCTTTTCCACACATACTTGAGCGGGGAAACACGAAACGTAGAGACGTGTCGGGACCGTTTCTAGTGAGGGACTGTCTCGGGTGTTTCAGGAACGTGTCCCTTGGTCAATCATGGATGAAACCAACAAAGCCAGAAAGCACAAGAAGGCTCAAGAGGAACACCGTTGCGGTCAGATTGCGCCACACGGCTCTACAGAGAAGCTGCGTTACGTCGACGCTCGTTTGTGTCTAGGTGGGAAAACAGGCGCGCGTAAA